CCAGCCACTTTAAGGGAGAAGCACAAAGAAGGTTCACCTCAGCTTTCTCTGGACATGGTGAAAATGCACGAAACCTCCAAACCCTAGGAGGAGCTCTGGTTAGATTTCAAGATTAGCATGATTTTGTAAGGAAGGCCAAAGCCTTTTGGATCTGAGGGTCTGTTGGGCATTAGAAGTCTGTAGTTCCATGTCCTAGGAGATTATTTTTTGGCTATAGCATTCCAGTGTGGACAGGCCTGGATGTGAGTAATGCCTTTAATAGGAGTCACAGGTGGAGAAGTTAGTGGTTCTTCATAGCAAATGTAGAGTTTCTCAATTCCGGCAATTTTTCTAGTGAAGACTTGCCCACTGATACAAATTGGCCCCGTTTTAATGGAGTGGTTTGCTTCGTTTTTCTTTCCCAGAACAAGCCCAAACGGGCCTCATTGTCTAGGCATCCTTGGACTCATTTTTCACTAAAGAAGATCTGTGTGATAAGATGATTATTTTATTAATTGGTGTGGATGAAAAAGAGGGTTGAAACCTGATCTCCAGTACCTTGGCTATACCAAATGGGTGGCCATCTCATTCTTGAATGGTTTTGTAGTCACTGAGTCTAAGAGTAAAACAATGGAGGGGAAAAAAAATCCCATCTTAATAAACTTTCTTCCCACCTTTCATCAAGCAAGTTTCCGAGTCTAGGTGGAAGCCCTTTCCCAGTTTTCCTTTTTCAAAGCCACTCCAGAAAAATCTCCTTTAGATAGTGTCCAAGCTTAAAAGCCCTGCAGCTAAAGTGTGTGTTGTGCAATTTCTAGAGGAGAGGCAATATGGGATAGTTGAGGAGATCCTGGGCCAGGAGTCCAAGGCCTTGGCCTCTCACCCAGGCTTTGCTACATATGCAATATGGGACTTAGATCAAGTCTCCTCACCTCTCTGAACCTCAGTCTTTGAAAAGGAAGATAAGAATAATAGTACCTGACCTATGCACCTAAGAAAATAGTTATGAGAGTCAAGTAAGGTAATGGATGTGAATGTTTTGTAAATCACCACTAAAGGTGGTATTGCAATAGAAGAAAGGAATCAGATCTGTGTTCCAATTTTGGGTTTTTTGTTGTTGTTAATTCTAACAAAGGATATTTTTCCATTGATTTTTAGAGAGAGTAGAAGGGAGGGGGAGAGACAGAAAGAAACATTGATGTGAGAGAGAGACATCAATTGGTTGCCTCCCACACACTCCCTGACCAGAACCGGGGATCTAGCTAGCAACTGAGGTGTGTGCCCTTGACCGGAATCGAACCGAGGGTCCTTCAGTCTGCAGGCCGACGCTCTATACACTGAGCCAAACCAGCTAGAGCATGTGTTCCATTTTTTAAATAAGCATTTCCTGTGAACCATTCTCATTGCCTATAGAGTGGAGCACGTAAAACTATTTTCAGGAAAGAGCTTGAAGCTGTGACAGATTTAGGTCCTAATCCAGTTGTTACTAACTCACTCTATGAGGTAGGCAAATAACTACCTGCGTCTATTTCTTCATCCATAAAATAGGGATAATAACATCTCCCTCATTTTCCCCATTTGGAAAATGGGAATATAGTTGCCCTACTTTCTTCCCCTACAAATTGGAGATAGTAGTAATAGCCAGTCTATTCTGCTCAGCAGTGAAATAACTGGGTTGCTTTACTCATTTGCCTGCAATATACACTTGACATAGTTCATGAGATTTGGAGGTTCCAAAGAAACAGGTATATTCAATTGCTCTGTGCAGATAAGTTCTAGATTGATGTCAGACATCTTTCATTTGGTAAATATTTATGGAGTGTCTACTAAGTGACACTTCACAGGTGAGGGGAAGCAATATAGTTCCTTTTCTCGTGGAGCTTACAGTTTAGTGGGGGAGATAATATTAATCAAGTAATTACACTAAAAATTGATAGAGTAGGCATTGCTCTTGAGTAAAAGTAATATGAATATTCTTGCAGCTCCAGAACATAGCTGTGCTGTGAATGACATTCCGCCCCTTGCAGAAGCTCCAGAGGCCACTAATGTGGAGAAAATGTTACCTGATTCTGGTTTTGTAGGTAGCGGCTTCGTAGAATCTGGGAGAGGCATTCTTTTCCTTCTTGTTCCTTAGAATAAATAAAAGATTTTAAGCATTTATCATTGTAATTTTAATTTGGTCAAAATTAATATTGTTGGAGGGAGGAGAGAACCCAATTTTTATAAAATGAAGATTCTTGTCTCAATGCTAACCTATTGCGACTCTCACCATCATTCCAGCAACTCCATGGAAAGACGTGTTTGTCACCAAGAATACTGTAAGAGGAGGCAAGCAGTGGTCACACGCTGCAATGGGCTGTGGGTGTTGCACATCCCACCTTCCAGCGGCTCCCTCCACATGGGACGAGGGAAGGAGCACACACTCTAGAAATGTCAGTGCAAACCAGAGAACAGAAGTGCTTCTGATTCCCACTGCAAAATTTGTTTTCCAAGAACCCTTAGTGGAACATTAACATTCTTTATTCTTGAGAAGATGGGGTCTTTTCAATAACATCCATTCCCACTTCCTCCTTGCGACAGCCATTCCTGGCTCTGAGAACCGCCTAGTTGTTCCCTAACCTCCCTTTCAGCACTTTCAAGACCAAAGTCAAACCTAGTTTTTCTCTTGTAATGATTGCTTTTCTAACCTCTTGAGCTAGTTTTTTAACCCTAGTTGTATTGCTCTCTTCTTGGCTGGCTTTGAAATGACCTACAGATCACTCTTCTGATAAATACCTGCTAGGCAAGGAATTTACTATCATCTTTCAGCACTTGTTCTCAGTTCCCAGCAGCATATTTAGTTCTGCATTTGATGGGTCACTTGACAGGGTGACTGAGTCTTGAGTCCCGGGATACTAGTGCCTTTTAGTCTCCATTAACCCAACATTCATGCAAAGCACAAATGAGGACTGTTTAGAACCCCAAAAAAAAACCATTACTCATTTCATGCTGCAATTTTTTAGTTTGTAAAGGGACAGCTTATTTTGCATCCTAGAGGAATAAGACACAATTGTTTTTAGAATGTAAATATTCTCTTCTCTTTCCCTTTGGCTGAAATAACTGGATGTATGACCTGGGATTAAAAATTGAATTTTGGTTTAGAAGTGAGTTTCAGGACTGGATTGAGATTGAGTTATGGCTGAGGTCTGAAAGACTGTTTTTGAAAACTGAGCATAATATTCTATACTCGGCATCTGGTTCAGCTAAGCACTAGTTCCAAATCACTAGAAGGATATGGTGGGAATCTGAGATGTCCTCAGAACACTGTCAAATCCAACTGGCCTCATAATTACTCTGCATTTCTACCTGGATCCACTTAGCTTCTGCTTCCTTATTCAGGCCTTTAGTGGTGCAGCTGGGGTGGGGTTCGAGGGTAGCTTTCAAAGCATCTGTTCAATAGACCCTGATCCCATCTTAAATCGTAAGAAGTAGACAAAGAAAGCTTAGGAAGGTGCATGTAGTTGCTTCCTCCACACTACTACTCCTCCCCTGCCCAATATACACAGTCAGTCCTTGCTGCTGGCCTCCCCTCTCTGGAAAAGCCCGGCCTCGGGTACAGACATAGAAGTGGATTAATGGAAAAAGTGCTGGGTTAAGCATCAGGAGACTGACTTCTATATCCAGTTTTACTTGTCGGTAGCTGTGGAATTTGGAGAAAGCCACTTAACCCCTCGTAGTTTCTTAGTTTGTAAAAATAGAGAAATACCTAGGTCCTGGGCAGGTAACTCAGTTGGTTAAAGCATCTTCTTCATAAACCAAGGTTTCGGGTTCAATCCCTGGTCAGGGCACAAACAAGAAGCAAACAATGAATGCATAAGTAAATGGAACAACAAACCAATCTTTCTCTCTCTCCCCCTTCCTCTCTCTCTCTCAAATCAATAAATTAAAAAATATTTAAACAACAAAATCCTGTTCACTTTATAAATAAATAAAATAAATTTCTTCCTCTTCCTGAATTTCATAATGTTGTGAGGGTGACATGAAACAGTGGAGGAGAACGACCTTTGGAAGAATATAGTGCTGAGGCTTTGCACTGATTGCACGCCTATAAACCACTTCCAAACGACTAGGACTTTTTATAGGGTTTACTTCTGTTTCTCACCAAGGGTGGAGCTGTCATGTTTAGGGTAGAGGCTAGCCTCCAGGAGTGCTATCCATGCTCATGGGTCTAGAAAACCCCCAGTCATGGGGTGTGACCACACTCTGTCTCTTTGACTCACTTTTTTTTTTTTTTAATCCTCACCCAAGGAGTGAGGATATTTTTTCCATTGATATTTAAAGAAAGTGAGAGAGGGGAGCAGAGAGAACAAGAGAGGAGAAGGAGAGAGAGAAACATCAATGTGAGAGAGGTACATCGATTGGTTGCCTCCCACACGTGCCCCAACCTGGGACGCGGAGTGAACCTAAAACCCAGGTATGTACCCTTGACTAGGAATCGAACTCGAGACCCTCTGGTGCACAGGCCCACGATCTAAGCTCTAACCAATGAGACATGTGGTCCAGGACGCTTTGTCTCACTTTTGAAGCTAACTGACAGCTGGTCTCTGAGGCAGCCCACTTTTCCAGCCCTGCCTTTTCCAGCCTTGGGTAGATCATGTGCAGCCCAGTCAGAGAGTCCTGAAGTTCAGTACTTGCACTAGCACTTCTTACTGTGTGGACTTGGGCAATGCACTTGATATCTCTGAGACTCAGTTTCCTCCTCTGTAACGTGGGAGAAATGATATCTGACTCCATAGGTTTATCCTAAGGATTAAAGAAGAAATGTAGAGTACCTGACCACGTCCTGGTCTCTAAGTGCCTGTTGTCCGCTCCTCCTCCTCTGCTTCTAAGAAGAATTTGCTAGACACATCTCCCTGAAGGTGATTCACACAACCCAACAGTCAGTATTTTAGAATCAGCTCAGAGATGAGATCACCCCGCAAATGCTGGTCCTGCCACCTGTGCTGATGCTCCTGTCTCCCTGTTACTTTTGGTGCCTCATGCAGGGAACATCATTGGCTCTGGAATCTTCGTCTCGCCAAAGGGTGTGCTGGAGAATGCGGGCTCCGTGGGCCTTGCTCTTATCGTCTGGATCGTGACGGGTCTCATTACAGCTGTGGGAGCCCTTTGCTATGCTGAGCTTGGAGTCACCATCCCCAAATCTGGGGGTGACTACTCCTACGTCAAGGACATCTTTGGAGGACTGGCTGGGTAAGAGGCTCTGTGGAGACCTAAGTGGTCTAGGAAGCCAAGGCCAGGGGTTTCCAATGTGCTGAGGAGAGCTAGAGAATGGGATTCCTCTTTTGCCTCCATGCTTGCTAGCAAAGCCTTGTGTCCCCTTGATGCCCCTGAGAGTGACAGAGGAAGCAGGTTGTAGTTTTAATCTGTTGACCTTAGTGGTCAAGAGTCTATGAGTGAGAGCAAATATGATAACTCTGGAGATTTCAAGGAAAAGCACTTCATAAAACAAAGCTCTTTTATCTTGACAAATGAGAGGGCCCACCTAAGAGACAGAGGTGCTCTCTTCTCACATTACCTAGGATAATGGCCTCCCTCCGAGCCAGGCTCTGATCTTGAATTTCCTCAGTTTCTCCATCCCTGCTACTGAAGCACTCAACCCGCACCTGATGAGCCCAAGGATGTGGAGGACACTACTCCCGCAACACCTGCTCAGTGCCTCCCCTGGCAGTTGCATGTCCTGGCTTTTAAAATTCTGAGGTTGCAAATTTTATTTTCCACCATTGGATCCTGGGGGCCAAAATGGTAAAGAAGAGATAATGAAAGAAGAGGGAAGAGTTAAATAAAGCCAAGATGTGTGTTAGCACTAGTTAAAACTTAACTTTTTATCATTAAATCACTAGAGGCCCAGTACACAAAATTTGTGCACCCAGAGGGTCCCTCAGCCCAACCTGTGCCCTCTCGCAGTCTGGGAGCCCTCGGGGGATGTCTGACTGACAGCTTAGGCCCACTACCCATGGGGAGTGGGCCTAAGCTGTCAGTTGGACATCCTTAGCGCTGCCACGGAGGCGGGAGAGCTCCCACCACTGCTGCTGTACTCTCCAGCCGTGAGCCTGGTGTGGGAGCGCACTGACCACTAGGGGGCAGCTCCTGCGTTGAGTGTCTGTCCCCTGGTGGTCAGTACACGTCATAGCGACTGGTCGTTCTGCTGTTTGGTCGATTTGCATATTAGCCTTTTATTATATAGGATTTTATTGTCAGTGCAGAGGGCTGGGTATACCATTTCGGGGGGGGGAGGGGCTGGTCTCCTCAGCATCTGGAAAACAAAAGGAAAATGCATCTCTTTAGCCCACGTGCCCTCCTAATGCTGCCCTGTGACTTGCCCAGGCTTTCCCTGATGACTTCTGAATACCTGCCATGCTTTCGGTGGGGGTGGGGGTCTCCATTGCTATCTTGGGTCAAATCTTGTCCTGTTCCCTCTTCAGGTTCCTGAGGCTATGGATTGCTGTGCTGGTGATTTACCCCACCAACCAAGCTGTCATCGCCCTCACCTTCTCTAACTACGTGCTACAGCCGTTCTTCCCCACCTGCTTTCCCCCAGAGTTGGGCCTCCGACTCCTGGCTGCCATCTGCCTATGTAAGTACCATCTGGGCCATGCTCTCAGGGTGGTCTCTTTTAGCCTTCCTGGTGGTCTCCATACTCGCTTCTTCCTCTGCCTCTTTCTTTTCTTCCCTTTTTTATCTGCCCCCATTAATCCCCCCCTCCCATTTCCTACATGTGTGCTTTAGATGAATGAATTTTGCATACAATTACCTGGTGTTAAAAAAAGAAGATACTTAAGTAGCTGCTCATAGGCATAGTAATTTTCATTGGCAGGGCTCTTTATACAAAGCACTTTCACTTATATGATCTGATAGGAGCAAATGACAAGTCCAGGAGCTAAGCTGGGCAGTATTATAATTTTCCTAGTACCGATAAGGAAATGGAACCAAGCAGTGACTCACCCAAATGACAGGCCCTGAGTAGAGCCCTGGTCTCCTGATTCCTTCTCTTTCTAGCACACACATTGTCCTGGAGCAGCAATTCTCAACCTGTGGGTCGCGAACAATGAAAATACATCCTGCATATCAGATATTTACATTAAGGTAACAGTAACAAAATTACAGTTATGAAGTAGCAACGAAAATAATTTTATGGTTGGGGGTCACCACAACATGAGGAATTGTATTAAAGGGTCACGGCATTAGGAAGGTTGAGAACCATTGTCCTGGAGGCTTCTGCTGATTGTAAGATTTTTCTAACATTGTCCACCTCTACCTCAACCTGCCAGCTCATATCTTTTTTTTTTTTTAATTGATTTCAGAGAGGAAGGGAGAGGGAGAGGGAGAGAGAGATAGAAATATTAATGATGAGAGAAAATCACTGATGGGCTGCCTCCTGCACACTCCCACACTGGGGATCGAGCCCACAACCTGAGCATGTGCCCTGACAGGGAATGAACTGTGACCTCCTGGTTCATAGGTCGATGCTCAACTACTGAGCCATGCCAGCCGGGACCCACTCACATCTTAAAACTCTTTGGAAGGAGAGTTTAGATGTGTGAGTTGGGGCAAAATAAATGAATTATCGGTGGTCCCTTGATAAATTTTATATCTAACTGGGAAGAAAAGCTAATAGACAGATTCTGTGGTTAGGATTCAAGTACAGTAAAAGTTCAAAGAAGGGGAAAGATTTCTGTGAGCTGGAATAGGTTAGAGGGCTTTATAGAGAAGTTCTGCAACTTATATTTCTAGGAAGTTTCAACATTTAATCTCTGATATCAGAAATCTCTGAGCCAGGCTGCTGGAGACTGCATCTCTCTACCACTTTTCTATGGCTATGCGTGCTTGGCAAAGTAACCTGCCTCACCCTACACAGGAGTGTGTGGTTGCAAGGATTGCATGAGATACTTGGGCACCTTGTAGCCCAACCATTAGTCAATGAAGGTGGTCAATGAGGGTAGTTACTTGGTGGTTGCTTGCTAGCTAGATCTAGAGATAGAGAAGGTGGGGGAGGGGGAAGAGGATGTGGGAATGCAGGAAGAGTTGCTATTTCTGCCACCAGACAGGCTAATGGGGCTTAGAAAGGGGACCACATGAGTGCTGGCCACTGCTATTTCAGTGTCTCGTGCACACAGACACAGCTTCCTTTTTCCTGCTGATGCTACTAGTGTCTGAGACAAGAACTACCCTTACATTCCAACTAGAAATCAAGAATCTTGAGGCTGTTCAGTCTGTCCCTTAGGAGAGAAACCAGGCCACAGGGGGTAGTTCTCTGGGCAGCTGGATGCTACAGGTCCCTTTGCATTCCCCAAACCCACCGAGGGTAGGTGACATCTTAGGCAAAGACCTTCTGGAATAGTATAGCTTAGCAGATCCCCTCAGGCCACATAGGTACAAACCTTCCCAAGATATAAAAATTGCTCCTGCCTGTAGCCCCATTCCAGAAAGACAGGTTGTACACAGTCCCTTTGGCAGCCCACACTTTCCCTGGACACTGCCAGCACCAAGCTAGGAGGACTTTAGAAACTCTAATGACAAAAATTATAAGATCCTCCCTTTTCCCAATTCCTGACATCAAAGGTTCAAGAAAGCTTATCTGGCCGGTCCTCTGCCTTCTAAGTAGAACTGCAAAGACATTCTGACCAACTTAACAGTGGTCAGTCTTGCCCTCCGAGATAGGAATTTTCCAGTGTCCTCCAGATATGTGTTCAAATAATTTTCCACCTGCATAAACAGAAAAATGTCCTTAAACCCAAACTTATTCCTCCTTATTTCCTTGGGGGAAATGCAAAACAGCTCCTCACTTCACCTTGTGTGTCCCCCCCTTCCACCCAGATGTGAAGGCCATGTGGAGTCCCCAACTCCTCTCTCCACAGGGGTACACATGTGGACATAGCCGCACACCCATACTTCCTCATCAGACACTCCCAGATGCTTTGAGTCTGTGTGCAAAGATTTTGTTTTCTGGTTCATCAAGTGCTTTTTTTTTTTTTTTTTTGGTAGCCCACTTTTACAGGCCCCTCAAATCCTCCCTTAAAGTATCCAGTAAGATAAATCAGAACCAGGCTGTTAGAAAGGCTTGGTGGATGCTACCTTTTATTAAATGCTGCTATCTTTTATTCCAGCACCCCTCCCACCATCCTCCATCCTCACCCCATCCTCTCAGCAAGTGCCAGGCATGTCAGCCGTGTAGAATAGGCCCAGTGTTCCTTGGCAGTAGAGTCGAAATTGGCCCAGTCCAGCTGTATTCTTAAGAGAAGCAGTAGAGAGTTTGGGGATGGTCTGTATGTACTGACATAAGAAGCGCTGCTTTCTGCTGTGTCATTTTGGCGTGCTGGTGTGTAATGGAGGGCATCAGGTTGAGGGAGCTGGAGGACAGGGCAGGAGCCCAGCAGGGAGAACCGGTGTGGCAAAGCCCCTGGCTGGGGTTTGCTGTGGGAGGGAGGAGATGAGGTCAAATCTGGTTCCATGGAGCGTTTTTAAAATAGATCAGATGAAAAATGGTGGTAGACGAACCAGATGGGGGTGGAGAGACAGAAAGAACCTGCTGTAACTGGCTTGCCTGTTCCAAGTCTGGAGGGGGTGGGGAGGAGAGGAGAGGGAGAGAGAGAAGGAACTGCGGGTTTGTATCATGCTTATGCAACTGCAGCTGCCACTTTGAGTTATTTTATGATTTAGGTCAAAGCTGATTATTCACTGCTGAGTCAGCAGAATGTTCCTAGCCACCAGCCAGTAAAAAAAAAAAAAAGTATTTTACATTTTAATTAAATGAAAAGCCTTTCTCCTTTCTCCAGAGCAAGCATATTAGTGGGAGGAGTTAGGAAGGAGGGGAACAGGAGGTATTAAAACTTGGTTTTGGTACCTTCTTTTGTAATCTGAGGTTTTTTTTCCTTTTTCTTTCTTTCTGTTTTACTTTTTAGTATTTCCTAAGTAAATAACTGTATTCTCTAGGTAAAAGATGTTCCTCTTATCTTCACCCCTCTCCCCTGTCCAGCAGTCCTGGTAACAATGGATAGTTATCCTTACAGTTCTAAATAAAATGCATCTATCAATGTACCTATCTGGGTATATAGACATCCATATTGATTGGTTATTTCTGCAGCTTGATCTTCCATCAATAGCTCTTTTGGTTATTACCTGAGTTTCTGGTTATAAACAAAGTTGTCCCAGTGCCACAGAGGAGCACCGTTGTTCTGGGGTCCCCTATTTGAGCTTCTCGCTTCCTAACACTGGGTTTTCCTTTGGGATCTGTTTGTCTCCCCCCCACCCCCACCCCCCTCCTAGGGACCAGACCACCTTATACTCAGGCAGCTTCCTGGCCTCCTTTCTCTCTTTTGGAGCTGGAGTCATGTCCAGTATCTGAAGTAGATTTGTTTTCTTCTTGTTCAAGTTCCCCTCTTCTCCCTTCATGCCATGTACTAACAAAGCTCCTTTTCCTTTCTCACCCTGAGGAGAACAGAGTACCCTTCATGGGTTTCACAAGTAAAAATGCTGCTTATCTTGTTTTCTATCTCTTTACTGAGATTCCTGATAGATTAGTTTTCCAGGAGCAGATTTTTTCTTCTTACGGACTTCACTGTACATATTACTTTCAGCCCTGAGTTGCTCTGCAATTCCTCTATAGAAAGGGTAGGCAACTCTCCAAGAAAGTTTCCAGGTGCTTGATGCAAGATATTGTTATAGATAAACTGTGTGTGTTGGTTTGCATGTCTCTTACAAATTCACCCCTTGACATCAGAGGATTCAACAGTCTTTCTTCGCGTCTAAATCCCTTAATCTCCTTTCATTTTCCTTTGAGGCTTCATATTCACGAGCCTCAAACTTCTCATCCCTGAGCACTACTCATACTGCCTCAGATGCCTGGGCAGCACTGCCTTCTTGCCCTTCTCTCATCCCCAGAAAGTTCTTTGGGTGTCTCATCAGCCTTGTATACGTATATGAATCCAGACAAATACAGAGTGAACTAGATTCAATTCCCATATAGCTTAGCCCCATTTTTTTCTGTACATCTTCTAACTAGCCAACATTTAAAATATAAATGTTGGTTTTTCAAATCTCTTGGTTTTTACACAATGATCAATTTGACTAAAATCCTATTTTTATTATTATAATGTATTAAGATGAAAATTACTTTGTAAATGGACTTTCTAGAAGAAAAAAGAAAAGAAACTGCAAATCCATCATTTAATTATCATATTGAATTCCTACACTGAGTGGAGCTGTGGCATTATTTATATAGTCTTAGGAGAAATTAAAGGCTAGTGAAGAGATTGGTGTACAAACAAATAATTACAATACACTGTGATGACAAAAGCTGCTTCGAAGTTGGGAAAGAGCTCTAGCCGGTTTTGCTCAGTGGATGGAGCATCAGCCCACAGACTGAAGGGTCCCAGGTTTGATTCTGGTCAAGAGCCCATACCTGGGTTGCAGGCTCAATCCCCGGCCTTGGTTGGGGCGTGTGTGGGAGGCAACCAATCGATATGTCTCTCTCACATTGATGTTTCTCTCTGCCTTTTCCCTTCCCTTCCACTCGTTCTAAAACATCAATGGAAAAATATCCTTGGGTGAGGATTAACAACAAAAAACGTTGGGAGT